TGAACACATTTTATAAGTGGTCAGAAACTTGTAAATAACTCATGAAAGAATAAAGTTACATTGAAACCAAGCACACCATTGTTTTTCTTGTGACATTACCAATAAGTTTGATGTGTCACATGGCCCTCTTACTATTGAAAAAACAGAAGTTGTATCCAAGATGGCCGACTTCTAAATGGCCACCATGGTCACCACCCATTTTGAGGAGTTTGCCCCCTCACATATACTAATGTGCCACAAACAGGACTTTAATATCACCAACCATTCCCATTTTATTATGGTGTATCCATATAAATGGCCCACCCTGTACATATTGGTATATACATATTATATATGGTATAATATGTATATATTCACCTGAGGTTGTATTTAAATCTTTGTAGAAACTAGTGAAGACTGGATGGTGGTTTGATTTTTTTGTTTTGTTTAACTGACAGTTTGACTTACAATTAAAAGGGTCTCTAATGTTTTGGTTTGTTTTTTTACCATGACTGCAGGGAGTTAGCTTGCTTATGATTAGCTTAAACCAGTCTGCGGATCCTTTAAATCACACCTTTTAAGGTGTGATTTAAAAAGTGAGTGAGTTTATTTACATTCTGATAAGGAATCTGATAACGAATTAAAAGCAAGGATGCTGTTTTCAACCTCTACAAAAATGCTAAAGTCGCCCAATATAAGTATATATCTGAATTGAACACTAAATCTAAAAGTCAAAGCTGAAGTTCATTTAAACTGATGCATTCCTCTTGCTTGTTTTTTTTGACAAATCATTATGTTGATCAGTTATCAAATCAGTTAATAAGAAACTCATAATAAGGAGACCACTATTTATTAATCTACATTTAATCTATTTAATTCTTTATTACTGCAACTAAGAATAAAATGATTAAGTGCAAATAAATTTACACCTGTTTCCAGGTTCACGAGCTGCACTATCCAAAAAGGGATCAGTGCTGTCTTGCTTGTTATTATCTGTGCTTCCCACTTGATTTGCTGGGAACCACCTAGCTACCCAGTGGGTGAAGGATGACCATGGCATGATATGTATAGCTGTTATGTGGTAGTTTAGGGGAATTTAGGAAAAATCTGTAAATATCACAAGTGGTATCTCAAGCCCAAAACTTGATGAACGGTTTACTGCACTGCTTTATATGCAATGTTAGTTCCTGCCCCACCACATGGCGTTAGCACTAACATATACTGCAAATATACTGGTTTTTGCCATTTGTATGGTTTATTCCTACTGAATATGTTTATCCTTCTTAGGTTGTCCAGCTTGTTCGAGATCCACGTGGCATCCTGGCATCTCGTATTGAGACCTTTCGGGATACTTACCGGCTGTGGCGTCTGTGGAGGGCAACTGGACGTCGACCCCACAACCTGGACCTAGGACAAATCAACACAGTGTGTGAAGATTTCCTTCGCTCTGTGTCTGTAGGCCTGGCAAGACCCACCTGGCTCAAAGGGAGGTACATGTTGCTGAGGTGAGAAGAGGATAATCATTTACACCAGGGGTATCTAACTCCAGGCCTTGAGGGCTGGTGTCCTGCAAGTTTTAGATGTGTCCTTTATTCAACACAGCTGATTTAAATGGCTAAAATGCCTCCTCAACATGTCTTGAAGTTTTTCAGAAGCCTGGTAATGAACAAATCCTTTGATTCAGGTGTGTTGACCCAGGGTGATATCCTTCTTCTACCAAGAAGAGAAGAGAGGTGTTTATTTAAATTGGTTGGTTTCCTGGCACATACTAGGCTTTTAAGCATAGTTCACAAATATTCAATAGGGTATTTGGCTTTGGGAAGCTACTCCAGAAGCTTAATGTTAGCCTGCTATATCCAGTCCAAAACCAGTCTTGAAGTGTTTGGGATCACTGTTGTGTTGAAATACCCTGTTGTTTCCAAGTTTCAGCCAAATTTCAGAATGTGTACATAGATAACAGTGACGATAACACCAAGACTTCACATGGATTTACCTTACTAACTGATGTGCATGTGGATGAGCAGACTGCATTTGGTATTGGGTGCAATTACAAGAATTTCCTTTTTGTCTTTTTAAGTTTTACTGAAATGAGGTAAACGGTGCTAGAGAGTTCTGTAGACCTAGACCGGGGGTGTCCAACCCCAGGCCTCGAGGACCAGTGTCCTGCAGGTTTTAGATCTCACCCTGGGTCAACACACCTAAATCAAATGATTATTTCATTACAAGGCCTCTGGAGAACTTCAAGACATGTTAAAGAGGTAATTTAGCCATTTGAATCAGCTGTGTTGGATCAAGGACACATCTAAAACCTGCAGTACACCGGCCCTCGAGGCCTGGAGTTGCCGCACCCCTGCTCTAGGCTGACGAGGCAGGGAAGCCAAATCTAAGGACAAAGAGCAAGTGAGCAAGTCTTCAGTCAAATGAAGAGAAACTCTAGAGCACAACGAAACTTTGAAATACTGCACTGACAATGAAATAGAGAGGAACCCCCAACCCCGACTTCACAATTCAGGGTGAAAAGAAAAAATAATTGTCAAATCAACATATGTGAATTCATTTATTCATTGATGAAAGCTCTTGAATAAGGGAGCAACCAAAAGTAGCTTTTTAGTATACCACAAATGTTAACAGGTCAGGTCTTCAACTGAGGCCTCGGGGAAACTGCAATGACACTACTCATAACAGGTCAAAACTATATCTATATACTATCTTCTGTCCAGATTCAGGTCTTATTTGGTTATTGCCTTCTTTTTAGTCAGAATGTTGTTATATTTGTTTTTGACAAACAACTTCACATCGACATGCTAATGCTTAGTATTGTTATTTACTGCGAGTGATATATTTTCTTTGTTCGTTATTTAAAAAAATAAAATACTCAATGGCACTTTCTTCCTTGATCAGGTATGAAGACTTGGCCAGGTTTCCTCTTCAAAAGACAAAGGAGCTCTATAGCTTCCTTGGTTTGGTTCTAGACCACAATGTGGTAGACTGGATCATCAACAACACTCGGGGCAGCAGTGGTCTGTCATCCTGGCAGAAATTCACCACAGTTCGGGATTCTGCAGCGAATGCTGAGAACTGGAGGGTTAAGCTGTCTTTTGATATGGTGGTTTACACGCAGACTGTCTGTCAACCACTTCTGGGGCTCCTTGGATACAAGACCATCTTCCATCCCAGGGAACTGAGAAATCTTTCACACTCTTTGGTGGAGGACCGGACGTTCCTCCCTTTTTTTTAAACGAATGACAAATATAGTTAACTGAGGTTTAGAAAACCAGCAAGACTTGACAGAACTGTTGTAAGGGAGAGACTGTGTAGCCACAGCTGTGGTCACTCTTGTCTGTGATGGTGTTTAGCCCTTAATCACAGTCACATGGTCACGATCACTACAGTGTGATGGTGAACAGATGGGACTTCTCTATCATGTGGCAATTTTCATTTGTTTTGTTTACCTGTTTAGAGCCTTGATTTATTTTGGCAGTGGTGGGACTTCTATTTTTGAGCCCTGGTCACATCAGCTGAAGGTTCTGGCATGCACACTAAATTCCTTTGTCAATTGCTATCTTTAGACAAAAACGTTAGAAAGGTTTGAACAATGCCAAAGAAAAAGAGCTCTAGAAACAATATGGAATTCCTGCCCAAGAGTTAGGATCTATTGGTCAAAACTGATTTTACTATTCTTTATATTTTCATCAGTGTTTACCTGTTTAGAGCTTTGCTCTGCAGCTACAAATGGCTGCTAGCTTTTAAGAAGGCCTTGGTTGCTAATGACCTGAAGTGTGCATTTGAGGGTTAAGGGGTCAGTCTCTTAAACCATTCTTCTTAATAATGTCCTCGCTGTTATAAATGTCTATTCTTAGTTTGATCGGTTTATACAGAGCAACATTTTTACCGTGCACATTTTGAAGGACAGTGCTGCAACACACATCAACTTTTTTTCCCTTGTTATTAAAAATCTCAAAATATGATCGATTTTTGATCTTTAAATGTCAAAAAATTCTCACTCGTTAATAATGTCGGTCTTCTCACTAGACAAGTTGTCGTACAACAGTTTGTATATACAACAATAGCTTGAATGTGCCACATGTCACATTTCCCACATTCACTACACACTAGATACAGATTCTACATTTAATTTCCAATCAATTGTTACAATTACCTTGAATTAATGTAAGAAGTCATTGTTTGTGCAGCTACAAACGATTTTAATAATTTTTAAGTTTTAAATTAAACATGTTTGGATTTTCTGGAATAAGAAGCCTCATTTTTGTTTCAATCACATGACAAGCTCTTAAAAGTAATCCATTACAAGTTCAGATGACTCTTGTAGCATATTTCTGATTTGTTTCCACAAGAATATTTTTCTGGATTTCAAATCTGCTTGTAATTTTACAGTAATAGTATATATTGCAAGAAGTGGATATGGCAGGTTAGGTACTACATTAAACCAAAGATGGCTAATGTCCTTATTTTTAGAGCGTTAACTGTCTTCACATTCTTATAGATCCTTTAAATGAAAAGTTTGCACTTCTGTACCCAAATCTGGAAATAAAACTTGAGTCAAATCAAAGCACGTAAATATGTTATCTGTTCTTCTAACGGTTCTCATTAGATATTGATTGTGCTTAAAATAAAATGCTAAAATGTCCAACAATTAATGTAAAAATTGATGTAAAGAACCAAAAAGTTTTGTTAGCCCTGCGTCAGGCTGGCGACCTGTCCAGGGTGTACCCCGCCTCTCGCCCTATGGTAGCTGGGATAGGCTCCAGCCCCTGACAACCCTGACAAGGATAAGCGGAAGAGAATGCAAGTTTGTTTTAATGTGGACATGAAACAATACGTGTATAAAGGCTAATTTACACCATGGAGCTCTTCATCTTGAAACAGTCACTGATTTAAATTTATCTATGAAGCTGGATTTTAGGAAATAAATCTTCAGGTTAGAGCCACTCTTGTGCTGGTATGAACATCACCGGGTTGGTTGGTTGGTTGGTTGCTGATAGACTGATAGACAGCCCAAGGGAGACACTTTTGTACTCCTCCTGGTTGCAACAATAAGCGATGAGAAACCAAGGATATACTGTGCACTTTCACTCTGTCTCTTTAGCAGTAAGTGGTTCTTGGTTGTTTGCTCGCTGCATAATGGCAAAAACCTACACACTGAACCTTCAAACAGAATTTCACATAGGCCAACTGTCCCAGACTACATACTTGACATGCAGAATGTAGTAAATGGGAATGGAACCACTAGCTTTCCAACTGGTAGATAACCCACTCTAGCGCCTACACCACAGCTGCCCTATATTAAAACATGGATGGCAAAAAACATTTAACCGATGTTTTAATTATTGGTACTGAAGCCCAGAGAAAGAAACTGTCAGAACACCTACAATCACTGGCAATAAAAACCTCCAAACAGTAGGTGTCATCTTTGACAAGGATCTTAGTTTTGAGCAACACAGACGTTTAACTGAAACTAAGACAGAAATGTAACTAAGGATTTAGATCACCTTAAGGTTATTGCCAGAGTACAGTTCCCCTCTCTCTAGCTCTCAAGACTTGGGGACTTGAGGAATGGGCTTCCTCCAAAGGGTGGCTGACTCTCCCTTAAAGATAGGGTGAGAAGTTTGGCCATCTAGGAGGGGCTCAGAGTAGAGCTGCTGCTCCTTCACATCGAAAGGAGCCAGTTGAGGTGGTACGTGCATATCACGTACCACCTCAACTGGGTGGTACGTGGTACTGGGTCTGACAAGGATGTGTCCTGGGAGCCTCCTGGGTGAGGTGTTTTGGGCTTGTCCCACCAGGCAGACCCAGGACACACTGAATAGATTATCTCTCGGCTGGCCTGGGAACTCCTTGGTGTTGGGGGCAAGCTGGAGGAGGCTGCTGCCCCCGCGACCCCGGATAAGTGGAAGAAGATGGGTGGATGGTTTGATCCCTGGCTGCGTCAGTCTGCATGCCAAATTATTCTTGGGCAAAATATTGAACCAGTGCTTGGGTGGGGTGTGAATGTATATGAATGTTAGAATGTTAGTGTGACCGAAAGCACTTAGGTGTAGAAAAAAAAGTCCTTGTATGAATGGGTGAATGAGGCACATTGTATATGGAACTCAAGTATCTTCTTATACACGGATTGAGAACTGGGAAGAAGAAATAATTATCACTGGATTGGTGATCCAGGGGTTAACAGCCAAACACAGCTGGATTATGTATTCACTACAAGCAGCCAGAATCTGTCCAGCTTGTGATGCTAAGAGCAGTCTTCCTGTAGAGGTTTTGTTTCAAGTCTTTGGCCAGCTAGTGACATCTATGAAGCACACAGATTTAATACAGGGGGTTTGTTTCGTTCCGTTTTCCCCGCCTGTCTTCTGTACCGCATTTCAGTCCAGTAGGTGGCGCATATGTTCCTTAAGATAGTTTACCAACCGCCATTAAACCAGAAGAAGAAGAAAACCCGCCGAAGAAGAAGAAACAGAAGTCATTTTGTATTTTCGTTCGTTTAACATGTTTCAGGTGTTCAGTTTATTTATGCCCGTCGCAGAGTTTTAAGGGTAACGTTTGTACTTTGCATCGTTAGCGAGGAGGAACTTATTAGCAGTGACAGCATGATGAACTATTCCGACTATGACTCTGATGGATATTCGTCGAATGAAGATGCAGACTATGTCCCATCAGGTGAGGACTGTAAACACTATGGTGAGGTTTCTGCCATTCAGTAAAGAAAAAGAAGAACCTTAAGTATCATTAACTGAGCTGCAAACGACAGGCAGAAACATGGTTACTGACACTGATGGTTATTGATGGCTCTCTTTCCCTGTGTTGAAATAAAGCATGTTAAAGCTGAGAAATTCTTCGAAAGCTACGAGTGTTTTTTGATTAGTTTCCATTCAACTGTTTTCACATCAAATCAAATTCAGATCCAGACGCAAACACTCACAAAATAATGCACACAGCCTGAGTAGCACGTGCAATACAGTAGTTACAAAAAGCGCCTTACTCACCCTCTTCAGTACTTGTGACTTGGAGCCCTAAAACGTGGAGTTGACATCGCCATGGCAGTTTTAAAAAAGCCTGGATTATTGTAGACTTTCTAGCAGAAAAACTCAGACTGCAGCTGTTAATCTGGAAGCTCAGTCAGGTGTGAGATTATACAGTCCAAACAGGCAGATGCAGTCCTGATATACCAAGATGAAGCCTGACTTCTCTTGGTGATATGGTTCAAGTCATAATCTTCACTTAAAAAATAGTGCTAATCAGTCAAATCAGCTGTGTCAAAACATGCTGAGTTAACTCTCATTGTTAGCTTTAAATGCAGTTTCACATCCACATTGATTAAAAAGCCTGATGAAATGATGCCCTCTTAGTACAGTTAAGTTGATTTGATATTTGATTATTCTTGATATTGATCTTGTTATGCATCATTTACACTGCTTCCTGTACTTTTTCACCTCAGATGATAACCTCAGCGAGGATGACATAAATGAGTGTGAGAAGGAGGACCCTCTACATGAGGATGACAGTGTGCCCCATTCTGAGCCCATCAGCAAGAAAAAAAAGAAAAAGGACATCAGTGTGAGGTAAGAGGTTTCGACAGCACCGTTCAATGAGAGGACAGTGTTTCCAAATGGAGAAAATGTAGTTAAATCTGTTTGTGTTCTCTGATGGCGGGAACACTGGACCATTTTCATTGTTTGAAAGTAAAACTTTTTATGGCTTCATAAAATAAACTACAGTTGATGTCCAAAAAAAGTAAATGTCATCAGATCCTCATGATCTTGAGTTTTAGTCGCTGGTGTCACTTAAAACATTTACAGAAAGAGAAAGAAGAGATTACTGAAAGTAGACGACAAAGATGAAGATGTTGGTGGAGCTAAAGAGGCGGATAACCCACAAGAAGAAGTGAAAACACCCACTAAGGCAAAGGCTCAGGATGATGAAGCAAAACAGAAGAAAAAGTCAGATGAACTTTGGGCCAGTTTCTTATCTGACGTTGGATCCAGACCCAAAGAGTCTGCACCACAGTCGGGTACCGCACAGAAGGTAAATATCTTTGAAACTTCGATATTTCATTTTGCCAGGTTTTTAAATGTGTTCGAATTTAAAGCTTGGACGATTGCTTTGATTTGCATAAACCACCTTTGAGACATGCACACTTTTAGTCATCTTATGTCCAAAATATCTGTGTGTGGGGGTTTTCAAATTGAAGCTGAGCTGAACAGACTTTGATTCGATACCAATTTGCACCACAAGATGGTGTAGTAACTCAAGTTGACACTAGTCTTGCCCAACAGCAAAGGAAGATGAAATCAGGGGAGAGACACTTGTGGGCTCTGTAGTTTGGGCACTGTGAG